GGCATGGCATGGGTCTGGGTCTGACAGCAAGTTACTGCCAATGCGGCTATAACTTGCCACGATCGTGCTGCTTTCAAGTAACCCTGAGATATTCAACAATTGTTGTTACTTTACTGTACCGAATTTTAGTTAAAAATGGGATATGCTAGATGCAGACAAGGAATCGAACAATTTCAGATATTCTCTAGCTCTGTCGTTGCAACGTGCATTTAAGATATTTCCCAGTTCTGTAATTACATTGGCAGTGGTATTTAATATTTCTTCCTCTTTCACACACTTTGTTAATTCACTTTTAAGTCAGATTTCTGTAAGTTTATTTGCCATTCGCCATATAAATTTTGGACCTTTAGACACGAGACTTCAAAAACACATGGCGATGCCAACCGAAATGTATTTTTGAATGCTTTTGAGTCTGTTGAATAATTTCTATTGAGATGCATAAATATTCCTATACCTAATAATACTTCCTTTAAGAGGCTATTACCAGTTGCATTTTAGATTTTAAATGAATTGGGGAAAAATTAAATTTTGGTCAATTAAGACTCGCCCAATTTGGAAAATTCTAAGCTGAAAGGTTGAATTGACGATTATATATCCATTTATCCATTAAAGCGCCAAACACTTGAAGCAACTTTGATCTATGAAATTGCACTTTAAATTACTTAAAAATGCTTAAAATACTTTATTCACTAGTTCTTTAGATTTGTATCTAAATAAAATGCAAAAACATATATTTCACCTACTTATAAATACATTAAAGAGATGCATAATCATCAGTTTATTTTGTCGTAAATCTTGTACATTGATTGCCATTAGTAATGCCGAATACCAACATAATTGACGTTTTTCCCAATGTTTTCACACCACCAACCATTTGGAGTCGACTGTGTATTTGATCCCGTTCCTTCGACACCTGCGTATGCAAATGAATATTGACATTTTGATGATATACAATGCTAATGGCAACAAAGTAAGTCACTTTCGTCGAAGCTCTGCGCTGATTTCATGACTTATTGGCGTCATTATGAAAGCAGCTATTAAATTAGGTTTATGTCTCAATTAGTAGGTACCTTCGATCATAAATTGTGCGGCGCGAGTAGGCAGGCCAGAATACGGCGGGCCAGAGTACGGCAGGCCACGCGGCAGCTATTCATTTCCATAACAATTCCAAGTGAAACTTACACCCAATCGAAATACTCAGTCCGATTGTCTAGAAACGTAATAAAAGGGTGGAACCATTCGACATTCGGCATTCGGTATTCACTATTCGGCATTCGCCATTCACCATCTGGCATTCATGTACCACCAAGCAAACGGCAGAGCCATTGGAGCAGTAGCCGCGTCGATGACGAGTTTAAGTGCAAGAGACGACAACTTCGATAGTAAAACTTGTTATAGGCAATTAAACAAAATAATGAATGACTGCACTGATTTTAAAAGCCTTTTCCGCATTTCTGCTCCCGCTCATGTTGCTCCATATTCAGACGCTAAACTGAAATGTACTGAATGTATCGACTCATCAATAGCTTGGCAAGGCTTTGATAGTAAGTTTGCGCATACAGAGAAATTTGTGTAATTGTGTAAAAGACACAGTGCGTATACGTAATGCATTAGGACGAAAGGAGATGCCAGGATCATTGTATTTTAATGTTATCCAGTTGGCAGTTGGCCGTTGTCAGTAGCCGCCTCTTCGTTGCTTCCGCATCGTTGGCTTCGTTTCATTTGCCTTCATTGTTGCCAGCCTCAATTTTTACGCTGATGAAGTCGATGGAGATGGAGAAGGAGAAGGAGAAGGAGAAGGAGAAGGAGACAGAGAAGGAGAAGGAGATGGATTGTGTGCATCATTTCAATGGCTCTGTGGCGAAAATGTAGACGACGACGGAAATTACATTTTTCGGCTACATTAAAACGGGGCGCAGACAGCTGATGTCAAAAGAATCGCACGAGCTTAGGAACTTTTCCTGCACTGATGAATATCCTTGCAAAGCCAAGAGCCTCAGCGCCTGCCCGGCACGTGGAGTGGCGAAACAAATTATAATAAAATCTCTGGGGTTTATGGGACTTTTTGAAAATGTCATTTACATATCTTATTTTATGATTTCTTTCTTTTGCATCTTCACAATTTTAAAGCGAATTTCCTTAACCAATATAACCGTTTCAAAAGCAGGCTTTAAAGAAAAAGTGTAAATGTCAATAGGTAAACAATTATAGCTAGCTTAACATTATTACTGGATCATCGCTACCTCTGTTTATTGATTAAACTATTTAAAGGAGTATACAATATGAGTAAATTCTTCGTTGAATTAATCTTTCTAGCAGATATATTACCAGCAGATTTCCCTATCGCCATTTTCTTTATGTTCGTATTCTTGACTTAACCAGTTGAGAATTCTAAATACAGAGATAATGACATTTGACTGAATAGCGATTCCTATATTCTTAATATAAAATTGCATAGGGTTTGCTTATTACCAATAACTGATAGATTGATTTTATAATTTGATTCTTAGTATCCGTTTTTAATTTAAATGATAAATTTTCAGGTAAATTTACAGCTATGTGTATAAGCTTTTAAGTTTTTTCTACAAGCAAATAATATAATCAAAGTCTTGTATAATATTTGTTAATAATATTGAGAATGGCATTACTGAAAGGTATCAAAATACTGAAACGCAAAAGAGCGAAAAACAGAAAATTATAAATCAGCACATTTTGTGTATACTTGAAATACGCTTCGTTTACTTAAATTCTTGAGCAAGTTTAATATCGAATCTGGTTGATTGTGATACGAAAGGAAAATACAGGTAGATTGGAATGTTTCAACTGTTGACTCCGCACCAAATCATTCTATAATTTGCAATATCTTGAAGGTGTCCAATATGTTGTGGTTCGATTTCAATGGAAATTAGTTAAGTTAAGCGAATTTATAAAAGCTTTTAGCTGCTTGCGCACAAGAAACAAGACGATGATGTCCTTGCCTCCTTAAACATTTTACTAGCTGAGTTGCGCCTTTCCACTCGTTCGCTCAGCCAAACCCAACTTATTGGATATGAGTGTGTGTGTATGTGTGTTTGTATCTGGGTGCGCAAATAAATAAGTGAAGAAAATGCGAGCCAAGCCTTGCGGCCGCAGAAGTAGAAGCAGAGGCAAAGGCAGAGGCAGTGGCAGGGGCAGGGGCAGAGCCAGAGGCAGAAGCCATAAATTTCGCCTGTCACTGTCTTAATGGGGCGACTGTCCTAAATTTATGCCACAATCAGCAGCGAGCAGCGAGCAGCGAGCAGCTAGCAACGGATGCCAATGGGTAGGAGTGCCAATCCCTGGTCTCTCGCCTCCGGTCGCTGGTCTCTGGTCTCTGGTCTTTGGTCACAATCCAATGCCAGCAGTCTGCTACTCGCACCCTTGTGCGTGTCCTGCGGCAAGCAGGAAAACTAAAAGAAAAACAACAATAACTTATAAGTCGTAAAATTCGCCTTCCTTCGCCTCCTGTGCCTTAGACGGCGCCTGGCGATGAAAACGGCACGAAATGCGAATGGAATGCGAAACTGTTCTGGACAATTTCCCAAATGTATCGCCTTGCCATTCGATTAGCAACCGCCGTCTCCGTCGTCCCCGTCGTCCCCGCCGTCTCAGAATTTCGTAGTCAGAACACGAAACAGTAGCGCCCTCAGTGGCGACACATCGCGCTATTACTCAGTTACAGCTGTCAGGCCAAGCCAGCCATTGCGAATAAGGGAAAATGGGCAAATGGGCAAATGGGCAAATGGAAAATGTCTGCTTAAGATGGCCGACTTCCTTTCCCTTGCTAAGGGTTGCTGCCCCGATATTCTTGCTTGGTTTGCGAAAATATATCCAACTAATTGAAACGACTATTTCACGAAATTGCAAAATATTTTCAAGCTCATTGATCTGAATCCCAAATTTGATTGTCTTCTTTTATTTCGGTAAATCAAATATAGAACAGCATAGAAGTCAATAAAAAGATTATTTGGTTCTATGTTAAGTCTCAGAGTTATATTGATTTACCATAAGTAGCTAAACAAAACTGAAAGACTATGGAAATCATTTGCGGTTTGACAAGTTGATAAACATACATGAACTCACTAGGAATATCTTATAAAACTTGTATATTCTAGCATTAGTTATGTTTGAATACGCTCTATAAATAGTATGGCATTCACCTTCCATCGTCTTTGTTTCATTTAATTTTTGAATTTTGAATTTGTGGAAATAAAACTATCAAGCAAATTATCTAACATATTTTAATTATTCATAATATTAACAGACGGTCTGATTGCGTAGGTGACTAATCGATTGGTTATCAATTCATATTTCAAGCCGGAAGGTCAAGCAGCACCAGAATTCGAATATATTCTGTTTTTTTTTTTACATTTAAATATATATATTTTTAGTTCACATATACACATATAAAATATTCGTCGACGATATAACTCCTCAGGATTGAGCCATGCGTTAATCAGACGGATAGTCAGGCAAGGTACAATACGTAAATATATGTTTGTATGTATGTGTATATACACATATATTCATTAGAAATTTCCCTCCAAAATGTCGAATAAGCTCAGTTTTTAAAGGGACCTCAGTCCAATTGGAATTTTCCACTTCGTGTGGTGTGTATCAAGAGGTAAAGTTGGAAGAGGAAGAGAGCTGCTGTCGCTTGCAGGAAATCACGAGCGCGAGGCGAGAGCTGTGCGAGAGCGAGTCGAACGAACCGAAAGCCAGAGATTTCAACTCGCAAAGTGGTGATTTCGTATTTGGCTTACACACATAAGCACACACACACATATACCAACTCACATACTGATTCTCTGTGGCTGTGCGTGTGTGTTTGCGAGAGTGTGTTTGTAGGTACGTTGGTGTAGCTCTTTAATGGTGTTGTTCTGGTTTTGGCGCTTGGCGTTTTTTACGGTGCGCCGCCCGAGTATTTACCACTTTACAATGGAGTTTTAGTACCCACGAGTCGTCATTGTCGTCGTCATCATCGCCGCATAAAGTCGAAATTAAAACCGCGGAGTGTTAGCCATAAACCAGTTAAATCAACCCAATCGTAGCTCGATATAATCAGCGTCAATCCCAGTTCAGCCATTTTCAATAATTTAATTGTTCGACTCGTCCATACAGAGCATTAAAAACCGATCAACCAAATCGCCAATAGTACCTAGCACTCGTCTCGTTTTTAATACACATAAATAACATACATTATACATACATATATTGAAAACTTACGCCTATAATTGAGTGGTTTGTGTGTGCTCAAGAACAATCTCAGATAAAATGAAGAAGCTGCGTTGGAGAAGTGTAAGAGTCTGAGAAGGGAAAGCCCAGGCAGAAAATAAGTAACTTATATGAAATAATATGAAATAAACCACAGAGGTATGTATGTAAGACAATACGAAATAACTAGCTAGAAAATATATTGGGTTCATCTTATTTAATTAAATAGAAACAATCAATCAAACAGTTATCGTCTATATATATTGTTGTTAAATATAAAAATGAATGTATATAAATGTTACAAACTTCAGTTTACATTTGATTGACAATAATAATCTGATAATAAGTTAATAAGTTAATCAAATAATATCGAACAAGATGTAAATTAATCTATTAACAGGGAGTATTTGCTCGGGGTAATTGTACAAATGGTGCATCCATATAAACGGGGCATCTAAGTATCTCAACTGTTAACTGTTGTGTCACTTAATCTATCTGTGGCGTTTGTATTTGCCCAAATAACTTTGTTGACCTTCTTAACATATAAAAAATATTTATTGCATTTACACTTTTTGGCATCTATTCTACTCTGACCAAATTGAAAGTAGAGATTTCAAACTAAAATTAAAACTTAATACTTTATACCTATATACTAAGAAGAGTTTAAAATTGTTTCTCGAATAGTTATCCTATTTCCTTGATGTAAGATGGAAAACCCAATTTGATGTGCTGACTTCTGTAGTGAAAACACAGATTTATTATAAACATATGTGAGGGATCTCAACCAGAATGGATTTAAAGCCTGTGAAATCTGAAACACTTATAGCTTGTTAGTGTTGTACAACAAACATTTACCATGAATAAAGCATAGGTTATATTTTTTTCGTATTTTTTTCAGAGATACATGTTTTAAATGCATAAGCGTTTCTACTGAGTATCATTGATCACATTTGATTTTAGATTTCTTCAGACTCCTTCTTAACACATTAAATAGATTTACATTGCTAAACATACACTGCTTATTGGCTTATCATGATAACACTTTAAGAATAGGAAAGTCCATCTAGAATACAATTAATTGAATACTCGGGCTCCGCTGGCACATCCCTTACTACAGACCAATCGCAGCTATTGCGTGTTGTTGTTAATATATGTTGTTATATATATGTGATGTATGATAAACTAAAATTTAGATTTCAACAAAAAATTGATTTCGAGAAAAATTGAATAAACCAAATCGGAAATTCTTTAAAAAGTATATTTGTATGTAGGAGAAGTGGATAGTAAATAAAGTTATGTATGTATAATCGTCATCTGCCTCATTACATTGTAAGTAGCTTTGTTCTTATTAGGTTTTTAATTTTTATAGCATCAGCACCAGTGACTGGTGTGCTAGAATGATATCAATATCTCTTTTCTATTCGCACCCGTACGTAGGACATTGAGCATTGAAAATGAAAGATTTACATACATTGAATAGTCTATGGATCATATAATCTGTGTCATATGTTTAAAATAATTAATAAATTTTACTGAGTATTATTGCGGACGTTGACCTACAAGTGTTTACGTTTTCGATTTTTTCAGATTCTTCAGTTATGATAGAAATATATATTTGCTAACAATGTTTTTCTTGCAATTAATATATTATTAATATAAATTAAAATTTAAATGATTTGATTTGAAATTGCCGTACATTATTTATACGAGTTTATTGAATGAATTATAACAATGTTAGGGAATACTTAAGTCAACGCAAAATAATTAATATTAGTTTAGGTCCCATAGTATTCGCAATTAACTGTTAAGCCCGTCCAAATTAATCTGTTTGGTGAGTGGACTTCGATTCTTTTGGCTCTAAAATCCCTTGACCCGGAGGACTGACCAGTGATTCCAATTAGATGTATGGGGAACCCGCTGCTCTGCTCTTGCTGTGGCTAATTAGCGAGGAAAAGCTGAATTAAGCTCATTGCAAATGGCCTAAATGGCTTCTGTGGCTGGCATTTTTGGTGCTGTTGATCTGTGTGCTGCCATTTACGACTATCTCAATAAAATTAATGCATAATTACAGCAATAACACACAAAAATTATTACAGCGATGGCAGGGGCAGAGAGCGAGTGGCAGAGCCTGTGGCACCACAGCCAACTGGCAATTGCAATAAATATTTACAGCCAAGCAAACACTTGCTCAAATTAAGGACTTGTTAAAGCAAATCGAAACGGAATGGAATCGAAGCATTGAATCAGCGACCAAACGTACAAATTGATAAAAATATAAAAATAAACAATAATGACGGCCATGGAACCACACACCGCTTCACACCCGAATATTGGAGTCCAGTAGCTGGACATGGGGAAGTAAAGTGCAACATGTTCTGCAAGTTTGGCAATAAGAGGCAGTTTCGGTGATCTGTTGTTTCCTTACCGAAATGTAAGTCGGAGTCAGCAGCTGTGGATGCTTTTAACGAGTGCAAAACATGTGTAGCCTTCGCCCTGCTCCGAGGTCAAATTCAAAACCGAAACCGAAACCGAACCTGAGACCCGGCATGCCTGCCGCTATTTCGTATGATTAACTTTCGGATTTTGTAAAATTATAATGGATGCGGTATCCGTCCGGGTGGGATTTTGTGTGTTTTGTATGGATATTCTCTTGCTTTTGCAAATGGCGCGTTTTACCCTTGGGCCCCACTTGCAAAAGGAATTAAGGTCGTAAAATGCTCAAACATAGGCTTCCGCTTTTCCCTGTGCTTCCGTGTGCAGAGCTCAAGCCTCCAGAAGGAGAGCTCGTAAAAAGGGGGAATACATTAAGTTTGCAACCCCCAAAAATTGCGGTAACAATATCAACACCAACAGCCTGTATGTGTGTCTGTATGTGTGTGTGTGTGAATCAGAGGGGATGTAGACAGAATCTGCATTAGCATGCTTCCAAAATTAAGTTGCCCATCAACAGGCCCACTTCAGTATATACATATACATATATATATATATATATATATATATATATATATATATATATAGATATATTTTTTTTATACGACACTCGCGCGCATTCAAAAATGAAGCCCTGCGTGGGTTGTCAGGTTATCAGCAACATTTTTTATTACGACTGCATTCTATGTTCCCCATGGCTAAATATGCCTTCATCAATTTGATTAGGAAACAGTATTGTATTTCATTGCATTTTGGCCTTTCAATTCGTGATGTAGTAAACTATACTACCAGAAAACATTAAACAATCCTGATAAACATTTTCTAATATAATAACAATACAATATAATAATTACATATAATAGTGTAGCTGCAAAATATGACTACCATAATATATTACATTATAAATTACAAAATAAAATAACTACTATAAATATATATTACATCATGATGTCATCATTGTCAATTTTAGATTTTAGGAGTTTTTGAAGCTTCTTGAAACCCGAAAGAAGACAAAAAATTAAATATCATTTATAATTATATTTTTCTTTACGTTCTCCATTATTGGTCTTGTTTTAAGACCGTAATATAATTACAAATATTCGCAAATATAAGATATTTGTGGACAGTGTTTAAATCAACACAATATTATTTTCTAGAGGGAAAATCAATATTAAAATGAAACATTAAATAAAACACATATGAATATGTGAATATGCTTGAATATTGAAAACAGACGACTTGCAATCGTAAATAATTTTGTGGGTAAATATATTTATATATTTATGATTTATATGTACTTGTAAGTAGAAGAGAGTATTATGTAGGAATTTACATATAGAAACATTAAATACATATATCTGTTGAATTAAAGTTTTAAAACGGATCGCTCACAACTGATTAGAAACTCGCTGAGATAGCGAATGAACGGAACTGCCTTACGGCGGAGGCAAACAAATACCAAGAAAATGGATACAAGACAAAGGCGCGCACACCAAACGAGGGAGCAATAAAATGGCCACGAAAGAGAATGAGAATGAGAAACGACAACGAAGAACAACGGCTGAACCAGCACAGGGGCCGCTCTGTCTTTATTCTGTTGTGATACCGAGAGTCACGAGATAGGGATGCCAGGCGCGCTGACAGACATATACTGAGACATACATAGCCAAAAGCAGGGCGAGTGAGTGAGTGAGTGAGTGAATGTGTGAGTGAGTGTGTGTGCGTGTGCATGAGTGTGCGTGCGTGTGCGACAGCAAGTGGACCTGCGCACGTGTACGAGTGAGATACCAACTGTGGGAGAGTGAGTGAGAGCGCAAGTGAGGGGCGGGCTGAGCGCCGAAAACGAACTGGCAACGAGACCACAAAGAGTCAACGGAGGCAGCGACGCAGCGCAACGCAATGCAGCACGACGCGGCGCGAAACGACTGCGGAGAGGCCATACGAAAAAGGCGAATGCAAACCAAAAGGCAAAACAAACTTAAAAACTAACGCAGAGGCGAGAGCAAAACACGAGAGTAAGACGTACGCAGAGGGGCGCAGAAGGGAAGAAGGGAAGAAGGCGAAGAACGCGAAGAGCGCGAAGAGGAGCAGCACCAGCAGCAGCAGCAGCAGCAGCAGCAGCAGCAGAAGCAGAAGCAGCAGCAGCGGCAGCAGCAAACGGAAAAAACATTTTCCAGCCTCGTCGACTTTTTACAACGAATTTTATGGCATTTAGTCATAAACTTCTTGTTAGTGTAGAGCGGATCGCAGCGCGTGAGAACCGAGCACAGCGAACTGAAAGCAAACGAAGCAAAAAAGCAGGAAAACAGAGAAAAACAACCAAAAGTCCAAGCGGCAAAAGCGAACTGCGAACGGCAAACACAAACAATAAGAATAAGAATAAGAATAGGAATAGCCATCCGCACAATTAGAATGCCAACTTTAGAGTTCTTATCACCTTTAACTACGCGAATTAGTGCCTAAATCGTGATTGTGCAGTAAAGTAGTGTAGTGCCGCGCGTGAAAATGAAATAAAGTTGTCAAAGTGAATAAAAATGCAGTCCGCGGCTGCTGCACTCATCTAGCATCAGCATCTAGCATCTGGCAGCAACTGCAGCTCCCCCTCCGAGTGCCAACGGACAGCTAACTAAGCGCAGAGATTTCCGCAGGCGCCCATCAAGCTTACGTTACGTAAGTAAACTCCCAGTAGGCGTGGGTAAAATAAGTATTAAAGTGTAAAAGAAACAAAG